GTCTCAGTTCCACCTCCACTTTAGTCTCCAACTTTCTAGTGTCTAAAATGGAGGACTCGGCTTTTAAATCTAAGGCATTTATAAGGTTAAGGAGCCTTTCCTTTTCAACCTTGTAAACACCACTCAAATGTTTGGCCCAACCGCGTAGGAACTGTCTTAAGTGTCTAATCTTATTCTGCCATCTTTCTACGTTCAATCTCCCTCCTGAATCCTTTGCCCACTCCCGTGCTATCAGATCCAAGAAACCTTCTCTCTCAAACCATGCTAATTCAAAAGAGAAGATATATTTATTTCCCACATGAGTTGCTTCCTCAGAGTCAACAAGCAGTGGGGTATGATCAGAGATCGTTCGCGACAACGTTTGGACCGTCACCAAAGGAAACTTCTGCTCCCATTCCACACTGGTGAGAACACGATCTAACTTCTCATACGTTGGATTTGGCAATGTGTTGGCCCAAGTGAATTTTCTACCAGAAAGCTCGATCTCCCTGAGACCCATGCTTTCAATGATTGTGTTAAACATAAACGACCATCTGCCGTCAAAGTTATCATTGTTCTTTTCGTCCCATCTTCTTATAATGTTAAAATCACCCCCAACCAGTATTGGGAGTCGTTCATCTCCGCAAATACAAACTAGGTCAGCCAGAAAATCTGGTTTTAGCTCAGGCTGTGCGGCTCCATACACTGCCATCAGTGCCCATTGGAAACCATCAACCTTCGATCTGACTCGAAACTTAACCGCAAATTCTCCCATAACAACATTCTGAACTTCCAACGTTTTGCACTTCACCCCAAGTAAAATCCCACTGGATCTTCCTCTTTGGGGTAAGCAATGCCAATGAAAATAACTCCTCCCGATAAGGTGCCAAGAAGCTGAGAGGTAAAATTGTCTCTACCAGTTTTAGAGTGGGAAATGAAATCTAACTTGTGTTCTATAGATGCATCCACTAGAAACCTTCTTTTAGCCAATTCAGTCAAACCTCTGCTATTCCAAAAGATTCCTTTCATATTTCATCATGAAATTTTTTAGCAGTCCAGATCCTAGCACTTCTGCGCACAGCCGAGGCTGGATAAATCTTCCGGTTCCACTTGCGCTTACGCTTGTTTTGCACATCAACTCGGTCCATACAACCGAGCTCAGTGAGCTCACATGCCTCAGGGTCGACGTGAGTTGAACCCCTCGAAGAAAGAAAAAATTTGTCCTCCTCAGTCTCGGCGGGTGAGGGCGCAAGATCCTCACAAAAACTATCAAGAACGCTAACACCCAATGCATCTATTTCTGAGTCATTTAAAGGTTTAACAGCCGCTAAGTTTCGAATCATCTCTATAGCTCGCTCCGCCTCAAGGTCAAGTATGTCATTAACAGATTTAGCAATCTTTATTCCATTATTACCTAGTGAAACTCCCAACTAATTTGCATTATTCATAATATCGTCCTCGGAAAAATGCAAAATGGAATTGGAAATATTGACTGACATACCTGTAGTAACCTCAATGTCTTGAAGCTTGGCCGACTGCATGGCGCGCCCCAGCTGCAGGTCATCAACGTCAGGCTGATCCTGGAGACGGCTGCTCATCCATCGACCTTCAGACATGGGATACGGGATCCCTCCGGAGGCGATGATCTCATCCCGCGTGGGCCCACTCGGGGTAAGGCCTCCTGCCAGACCCCCAACTGGACCTAACTCCACCGAGCCAGTCGGGCTATGGCCACCTGCCATCAGCCCTACCGGAGAAGCCGCACCCGCCTCCACGGGCTCAGGCACTAGAAACACCCTCGGGATCAAGCGTGGGCTGCAATCGAGAGTCCTCGACCGATGTACACCCACATCAGATGAAAGGCCTCTAGGTGAGGCTGCCCTCCCCACCGATGGCTCCTCGGGGGCGAGCACCGGCACAGGGCCACGCGGGCTGGTGGGGCTGGACACCCGAGTCGGTGTGCATGCAGTCGGAAGTAACCGGTCAGCAGACATCAGCACGGTAGCTCATGTTCCGTCGGATCATCTATCTCAACTCTGTTACTCCATAGATGACTAGGAGCCGAAGATGCCCCAAAGGAACCAAAGCATAAAGTGTTCACCAGTGTCATAGATGAATCGGTCCCCCTAGCCGACTTCTCCGCCTTCGGACTGTGAAGTGGGCCCCTTGGCCGCCTCCCGAGGTGTATGGTCTGCATCCTTATCCTGATTCCATGGTGCCCCATTCCCCTCAGTCGTGTCCATGTCCTGTTCCCCATCATCCTCTTGGAACATAGGTGTATCCTCAAGCTCAATATCTAGGTCATACGTGATCCCGGCATGAGTCCACTTGACCACATCTGGCATGAACTCAATATTAGTCACACTGACATGTAACCTCACTACACCATGTGCACGGGTGAAAGGCTTGTCAACCTGCTCAGTCTTGCTAATAAGAGATCCCAAACTCCATGTGACCAAAAAATTATTCAGAGGCTTAGGAGGTGCACCTGAGAAACGGACCCATATCTGAGATAAAGGTGTGCCCTATGGCTCCTTTTGTTTCCACTCATCGAACTCCATGACGATGTTAGTACTCGGCACTCTACACATACCAAACTTTAGAATATGGTGCCGATCCTCTCTAGTGGGAAACTCCACCTTGTAAGTCTGCTCCTCGAGCCTCACAACATTCCACTGAAATCTGCCTCGTGCAAGCTCTCTCAGACGTTGCACAATCTGTGCCTCGGTCATGACTCCATTTGTCACCCTCACAATACCCGGAAAAGAACTATCCAAGGGCTGCGTGGTCTGGCCTACATCTGGTGATTCAAAAAACATCAACTCTTGACAACATACCCCATATATACTGACCACTGGCTTTGGTCCCAGAAGAAGTGGACACTCTCCAGACGTATGCTTTGGCTTGAGACAATTATCATACAAGTCCAAGGTACACTCTACAATAAAATATCCCGGTTCACCACACCGGTAACATGGCAACTTTTCTTTCTTATGCGCCCATTTGGACACTCGTCACCCTCGGACTTCTCAGACCCCATGTCTTCATTAGCATCCCGAGGTTTAGCCACCACATGTTTAACCCCGGGAGCAGTCACATTCGCCAAAGCTCGGATCGTGTACAGAGCGGCCCCCGACAAAGCCGACGCCGAAGGAGCAGCCGCTCGATCAACTGCCGTCTCGGGTGCCACCAAAGGTGGAGCGGCCATCATGGGCGCGGCATCGGACGGCGTCGCCGGTGGCGATGGCGGTCGTGGTGGAGGAGGCCATCTGCCCTCTCCTCAGCCACCATGGTAATTGCGGAACCCACCACAAAACCGCTGGTTAGGGCCGGACGCCCCCTCGACGAAGTTACCGGGCGGTCCTTGGAAGCCTCGGACCGTTCCCTTCGTCTCCGACCCAAGCGTATCTGCGGCCGCCACCGGAAGACGATGATCCCCGGTGCTGGCCGGCCCCATAGGCGTCATACCCGTCGTCCCCCCACTGCCTGCGCGAGGGATTTCGGTTGCCACCATTCGCTCCTTGATACATCCTGCCGCTGCCATCATCACGACCTTGCCCGGCTCCTTGTGCAGAATCTCCCAAAGCCGGCACCTGTCCATCATGCTTCCTAGGCGAAACACTCGCCTTGGGTCTGCAAGATAAACAACTAAGTGATAGCAAGATATATAACACGAAACACTATGGCTATCACAAAGTAAAGTGCATAAGTAAAGGGCTCGGATAAGATATAACCGAGGCACGCGGAGATGACGATGTATCCCGAAGTTCACACCCTCACGGATGATAATCTCCGTTTGGAGCGGTGTGGAGGCACAATGCTCCCCAAAATGCCATTAGAGCCACTGTAATTTCCTCGTGCTCTTGTACAATGCAAGATGCCGTGATTACATTAAAGGACCCTTGACGGCGGTCATCGAACTCGCACAATTGGCAACCCTTGGGGGTGGTCATCGGACCCATACAGATTGCTCGGGCAATCTCCACAACTTAATTGGAGACCCCGACGTTTGGCTTTACACCACAATAATTGAGCTCCACAAGAACCAATCGTCAAGGGCGCCCAAGCACCCAAGAGGAGCAAGCTCTAGGGTACCAAGCACCCAAGAGCAATAAGCTAGTCAAACTTCACTTCCACGTATCACCGTGGAGGACTCAAACCTATGCAAAAAAAAATGCAATGGCAAGGGCACACGGAGTGCCCATGTCCTTCTCTTCCAAATCCCACCACAACTAATGCTATGGAGGAAAATGAGAGAAAAAACACAAAAGGGGAACATAAAGAACTCCAAGATCTGGATCCAAAGGGTTCCCCTCACTTAGAGGAGAAAATGACTGGCGGAAGAATAGATCTAGCTCTTCTCTCTTTTTTCCTCAAGAAGAAACAAGAATCATTTGAGGGATTAAGAGATAGCAAGCTCAAAGAAGGTCAACTATGGAGGGAAAACACGAGTTCTAGAGATAAGAACCATTGGGAAAGAAGACCCCTTTTATAGGCGGTGATGAATCCAACCGTTATGCCTTGGCCAGCAGTAAAGCGGTACTACTGCTCCTAGGAGCGATATACCACTTCAGACGACAGTTCCAGCTATGGCTAGCGAGCACGTTTAGTGCTACAGCGGTAGTGCCGTCGGAGCTGTACTACCGTCCACCCTTCAGCGGTACTACCGCTTCAGGTCACGTAGCACAGTGCTACGTGAAACCACGGTACAGAGGTGGCGCCAGAGCGGAAGTACCGCACAGAGCGGAAGCAAAACAAACTGTACATCTGTCCTACACCTCTATGTGTTATACAATGTATCAATTGCAACAACAAATACAATTGTAAATTCAGCCGTAAGAACTATATAAAGTACAAGTGTATTTCCAGATATAAACATACGTGCCGTAGCGTATACCTGCGCCGTTACATATTTTGGCAATTACATAAAGGTGAACCACCACAGCTCTCACGACAGAATCTTATGATGAATTTCAGAAGCACAGAGAGACCACATGATTTGATGACGAATGTCCTCAAGATCATCGCTGCAAGCTCGCCGAAAACAACATCGCCTCCTCCATGCTATATCGCCTGCTGTTACTATGACCCTCCTTGTCAGCATTATCTCTGCTTCTTTCAAATGTTCTGCGACGTAGTCTAACTAGAACTTCTTCCAATTCCGGATCGCTCTTCACGATGTTCTCCACACTCTGCAGCCCCTGGAGTTTCGTTTCCATGTACCGCATGGTTGGCCTGTCTTCCCCCTTCATCCCCAAGCACATTGCTGCGATTGCCGCTACTTCCTTGGCTTCGTTCCCAGCCTCCTGGGAAACCTGTGAATCTAGTATTTCACTCAGCCTATCTTGGTTCAACAGCAACATGAAGTGTGCTACTAGACTGACGCCTTCTGACGGCACGTAGCCAGTTGGTTTTTTTCTTGTAAGTAGTTCCACAAGCATGACACCGAAGCTGTAAACATCTCTCTTCTCGGTCAGTCGGCCTGTGTAGTAGTACTCAGGATCAAGATATCCATAAGTTCCTTGGATGGCAATTGTTACCCCTAATTGGTCAATTGCAATACCTCTAGAAGCTCCAAAGTCGGACACTTTTGCCGTCAAGCGATCATCTAGCAGTATGTTAGATGTCTTGATGTCTCTGTGGATTATCGACATCAAAGCCGCCGAGTGAAGATAGGCCAAAGAACTTGCAAGTTCAGTTGCAATTCGTAATCTGTCTTTCCATGATAGTGATTAAGGACCATCGATATGAAGATGTGCATAGAGGGTACCATTCGGAATGAACTCGTAGATTAGCAATGGAACTTCTGTCTCGAGACAGCAACCAAACAGCTTTACCACATTCCTGTGATTGATTTGAGAAAGGATGGCAACTTCATTTATGAACTCGTCGATCTCTCTTTTGATACGGTTTTGGACTTCTTTATAGCAACGACATGTTGGTCTGATAAAATGCCCTTGTACACTGTGCCGTGCCCTCCACCACCGAGAATGCGAGCTTCATCAAATTTATTCGTTGCTGTCTCAAGCTCTTCTAAGCTGAAAATCATCCTTTCGGCTATATCTGTGTCTACTAACTGCTGGAGCAATAACCCACGGTTTTGCTTGAAGAAATATTGCTTCATCCTTTTTGCTTTCTGATCCTTGACCTTTTTTATTGCAAAGACGACAGCAAGAACTAGAAGCAAAATAATTATGCCGCTGCCAACTCCTATGGAGAAAATTATTCCTGTCGAAATTTACAGACAACACCGTCAAAAGCCTGCTTGAAATTATATATCCTAATTTAATTGTGTGAAAAAGTGCCGGTTTTACCAAATTTGAGGGCATAGTAATGTTTTATGGGGACAGAAAGATGACCTAATGCTTAAAAATTTCCCTGTGTGGACTTACCAGCTGCTAGACGGCCTCGCCCTCCTTGGCATCCATTTGTCATGTAGGGATTGCCCTGGTAGCCGTCACTACACCGGCAGACATAGCCTTCGGCGCCATTTGTGGAGTTGAGGCACATACTGTTCTTGCTGCGGCACCCAAAATCTGGCCTCTGGGCAGCCTCTTCGCAGGATAACTCACCCAATCCCCAGGCTGCAATGGCAGGAACGAAGAACGGGCTCATGTCAGGGTAAGACAGGATGTCCATGAAGTATTGCTGAAGACCATAGACATGTGACCCGTCACTCCACCACTCCTTCTCCACATGTGCACGCTCGCGTTGAACGCTGAGGCTGGGGATGGGGACGGGGTGATCGGGCACCCGCCAGCACCTCGAGCAAGGAGAGCTCGATACGGCAGGACCGAAGGCCAATCAGAATGGACGGCTGGTAGTAGCCGATGCCGTTGCACACATTGTCGGGCAAGAACGCCTCGCCGGTGCGGTTATTGATCGGACAGAAAGACGCGCAGGAGCCATATGTCCACCCGTCAACGTTGTGCAGGAGGACACGGAAGCCACACCCCACGATGATGAGGCTGTTCGCCTTAGCCGACAGCACGAAGGGGGAGCCTCGGCTGAAGGCCAGCTGCACGTGGCTCGTGTTGTCGGTGACACTAGTGCAGAACCGGGCAATAGCACCGGTTCGTAAGGCCCTTTACTGCCGGTTCCATAACCGGCACTAAAGTGTGGGCACTAAAGGCCCCCCCTTAGTACCGGTTCAGCACGAACCGGTGCTAAAGGGAAACCACGTGGCACGAGCCAGCTCCAGGGGCCTGGATCCCTTTAGTACCGGTTGGTAAGACCAACCGGTACTATAAGGTTTGTTTTTTTAGTTTTATGATTTCTTTTTCATTTAATTTTGTGTTTCCATTTTAATTCTTTTTCGTTTGCTGGTATTTTATGATACTACACAATGTACACGTTATGCATATATATATATAATTTCTAGTAGAACCAATCATGCATATATATATCATCAATGTCTCACAAACCATCATATTAATTAATTCACACATACACACATGTATAGCTATATACAATTTCTCCTACATATGCATGTTGCCTTCGGAGCCAGTGGCATTAGCCTAATTGGTGCCTTCGGAGCACGATGACAATTGGAAGTGGTTTTCATGGGAGCGGTAGCGGGTAATAGTATTCTCCCTACGGATTTATGACCTGGTCAAGCAAAAATCCCGCTATTTCCTCTTGAAGTGCTTCTACGCGCTCCGTTTCTAGGAGCTTCTCCCGCACCTCTCTGAACTGTTAAGAAGGAGATCAATATGCATGTGTATTAGTTGTGTGACTAGATATCGATAATGGTGTAAAAATTGTGAATAGTGTTCTGACAAGCGTACCCATTCCTGTCTTTGAGATCTGCTCCTTTCGGACGCCATCATGCGAATGTTCTCGCAAACGCAGAATGCACACAGATCAGTCCCCTGCGCCTGCTTCAGGGCTTTTACGAGAATGGAATTTGATTAGATAATAATTAAGCAAGCATGATAATTAAAGAGATGGCAGCTAGCTAGCTAGCTAGTACTACTTAATTACTTACCTTGGGTCTTCCCTATTTAAGCTTTTTTTTCATTCGCCTTCTGTGACGCTGATGAACCTTGCCCAAGCCCTGCCCGCCGACAAAGAAAATGAATAAAGGGGTTATTAAATAGTTCATATCATGAAATGACGAACTAAATAGGCCAAGATATATAGTTAATAATGATTGAAATTACCTGTTGACTATCCCAAACAAGATGTTATAGTCAGTTTTTTCTTTGAGTAGTGAGTCCAGTATTTCAACTGTTCCGGCGTCAACTTTAATGATACACAAGATCCAGTGAAATCTGCATGCACACACGTTTGCATGTCTTAATTAAGCGGGCATATGTAAGCAAAAACATGTAGCTAGCTAGTAGGCAAAAATAGAGAATTTGTAGTACAAGACAGCGTGACTCACTGGAAGTTATAAGGAAGTAGTATATCTTCATTGTATTTGAGGCGCTTCAAGAACTCTAGCATGTTGTCCTCTACGGCCTTTTGATGATGTGTATTTATTAGCCATGTGTATTCATTAATGGTGTTTGGGTCAATGAACCCAATGCCAAAGCGTCCACCTTTTCTCATTTCATACATCTTCATCCTGCATAATACCACAGAAAAGAATATAGTGAGGATAATTACAGGTAATGATTGATCAAAAGGATCACTACAGCTAGCTTGAGACTTAAATTACAGAAAGAAATCACTTACAGACAATAGCAACTGACGATAGATTTGTCGAGTGCGTCTTGATTGTATAACTGAAATAGTTCAGAATACTCAACGGACAGAGCTTTCTCATGGAAGTAATGCTCCTCCTTGACATTCACCATGAGGGACAATCGATCGGAAATCTTGGTAATGTTCATGTACCATTGATGCAATTCATACATTCTCGTTGGGAGGTTCTTGACCTTGTCTGGCTCGACCAAAGGTTAGCCCCGGACATATTTCCGTTTTATTTCATGCTCTTTAAGCACAGGCATGGGCTCGATCTCGAGGAGTTGTCCAACAGTGATGTTGAGAACTTCAGCCTGCATTATATGGTCCTTGGTTATTACCACATTGCCCACCTCGGGAACGTAAACTGTTTGCCCACAATAATATTGGGCGCGCGTACTGTCACGTGTTGTTGGCACAACAAGCGAGGGGATCGATTGCGCCGCCTGTTCTCCCAGCTGGGGAATGGTTTTCCCGCATTTTTTGACAGCTGCTTGTGTTTTGCTCGATCCCGAGCTCGCCTCCTTATGTAGACGTGCTCGATTTAACTTCCTGATGTGGCGCTCATAGTCTGTGTCAACAGGCTTGGGAGCTAGTGGGTCAGCCATACGAATGAAGTGGTCAATCGTTTCCTCAGGCACTTTCTCCCTTGGCGGCGGTGGCGGTGGCGGTTTTGGTGCAAAATGGGCTTCCACCTCGGCCTTTGATATGGCTGCGATTTCCTCCTCGGACTTGTCATAAGGCCTCTGTGGAAGAGGCTTGAGGCTTGGACCATATTTATATCGCTTGTTTTCGCCTGTACTTCCTGTACTACCTCGACTCGTACCGCTACGCACCATAGCTGCGGGGTGTCTCTTCTGCGATTGCTGAGGCGGTGGAGACGGCTGACGGGGCTGAGTTGGACGAGGAGGAGTGGCCTGAAGCTGTGCCGGACTTGGAGGAGGAGTGGCCTGAGGTTGTGCCGGACTTGGAGGAGGAGTGGACGTCTGACGCTGTGGCGGACTTGGAGGAGGAGGAGTGGCCTGACACTTTGTCAGACTTGGAGGAGGATCAGTGGCCTGACACTTTGCCAGACTTGGTGGACTTGCAGGAGCGGGAGTCTGCTGACTCGGTGGCGGACTTCGACGAGGAGTCGGCTGACGCGGTGTCGGTGGCCTTCGAAAGATGATGCAATCCTTTTTCCATAGGATGATACGATGGTTGGCCTCTCCGAGAAAGTGCTCGTCGTCACCTCCAGGAATGTCAAGCTCTAGCTTCGAATATGGATCCACCACCTCATCAACCAAGACACGAGCATATCCCGCTGGAATCGGGTTGCAATGGAAGGTTGCCTCGGGGGGGATTTGTAAAAGCAACGGCGTCCGCCACCTTCATGGATATGTTCTTCATTTTGACGTGTAGCTCGCAGCTAGTGTTCTCCGTGATGTCATCCACGGGGTATCTACCCAGCATTGCGTCGTCCGGGACGGAACCCACGCTGCTTCTCGGCATGGATGGGGCGGTGCTATCCAATGCTGGATCATTCGCTAGCTGCTGCAGCTGCTGAGACCCCCTTTGCTGGGTAAGTGAGTCGATCTGCTCCTGCTGCTGCTGGAATTTGACTGCCAATTCCGCTTGACTTGCTTCTAGGCCTTGAAGGCGTTCATAGTCCCGCTTCCTCTGCTCCTCCTCCATCTTCCTCTTCTTCTCCTCCGCAATCTTCTTTCTCGCACGGGTTCTGTAGTCGGTGTTCCAGTCTGAAAACCCCTCATACCACGGAATAGAGCCCTTGCCTCGTGTTCTTCCCGGGTGTTCAGGATTTCCCAGGGCACGCGTAAGCTCGTCGTTCTCTCTGTTGGGCTGGAACACCCCCGATCGTGCCTCTTCTATTGCAACAAGTATCGCATCGTCGGCTCCCTTCAGACTTGCCCTCGTCGAAACATTGCCTGTCTTCGGGTCCAACTCCCCCCCATGCGCATAGAACCAAGTCCTGACCCTGGGGGCCAGCTCTTAGTAACCGGAGTGGCACCTGCATCCTCCATCTCTTTCTCAGACTTATCCCACTTAGGCATTGCCACCGCATAGCCACCTGGCCCCAGCTTATGGAACTTATCCTTTTTTTCGGCATTCTTCTTGTTTATTCTCGACCGTTCCTTAGCTAATTCCGAATCCTTGAATTTCAGGAAATCGTCCCAATGAGCACGTTGGTTCTCTAGTGTTCCCTCGAATACTGGAGTCTTCCTTCCTCCCTTGACGTACTTGTTCCATTCACGATTCTTGTGGTTCTTGAATGCAACCGCCATCTTCCTAAGAGCAGCGTCCTTGACTTTCTGCACATCTGCTTCTGTGAAATGATTTGGTAGGGTGAAATGTTCCATGAGAGTATCCCAAAGCAGATCTTTTTGTCTTTTGTCGACAAAAGTAACATCTGGACGTGGAGCAGCGTCCTTTTTGTCTTTTTGTCTTTTGTCTTTTGCTGGCTCTCTCCATTCTTGAAGGGAGATCGGGAGTTGGTCCTTCACAACAACTCCGCACTGACGAATGAACTTGTCCGCAATCTTCTTAGGCGCTAATGGTTCGCCACTAGGTCTGATTGCCTCGATATTGTACTTTACGCCCTCCTTCAACTTTTTGTTCGGGCCTCGTTTCGTCCTTTTGCCTGAAGATTTGCTCGATCTAGATGTCTGAAAGAACAAAGATCGATTCGTTAATATATCTTCAAGTCATTTAAAACATGTGATGATCACCAGATGCCTGCTTATATAAATATATATACCTCGCCGGTCTCTGTTGTTTCAGGATCAACATTTTCTTCGTCATCATCATAATCATAGTTCATGACTTCATCAATTAGGTCGTCGCGATCGAATATCATATCACCCTCTCCGGTGTTGTTTAGAAATTCGGAGCCGTCATAATCTTCTTCATTCTGATCATCATCTGGCCCGTGAGGATTGCATATCATATCGAACATGGCCTGTTCTCCCTCTCTGCCGGTATTGTCCGCCATAGCTTTTATTTAACTAATCCAAAAGAAATATAAAACAATTTAGTATTCAAATTACATCGTCTCGAATAATAGATATAATCTCGAATACATCGTCTCGAATAATAGATATAATCTCGAAAACATCGTCTCGAATAATAGATATAATCTCGAATACATCGTCTCGAATAATAGATATAATCTCGAATACATCGTCTCGAATAATAGATATAATATCGAATACATCACTGGCTAGGTAGCTAATAAAGATCGAATACTACAGAAGAATCTAGGACACTCGCGGTTCCTGCGGCACGGGCGGTGGACACCCAAAGAGAAGGAACCCTCACAGGATCATAGCTGAAGTGAGATCCCTGAAGAAACTGC